CGTGTGATTGCTTGGTCCTGGATGATCGATAGTGGCCTCAAATTTATTCTAACAGGCAGCGGTGACACGACTTTGCCCCCTCTTTGGAGGTACCGCTGATGTAGTTAGGGTTGGCCGCTTCTCAGGGTGTGGGCGTCTAGGCGCAGTGTATCCCCATCGTCAATGATTCCTTCATAACTTCTTCACAACTCTGACCAGACCTGTCATCCACACGCGGATTATTCTTAGGTGTATGGATGAGGGGTGTATTGACCCAGACTGCTCTAGAGCCCTCGTGTTGTAGAGGTCTCCGACATCGATTTGTGACACATCTTGATTGTTGTGTGTCTTGCCTCCTCGTCATTGGCTTGAGGCTGGACAAGTCGAGGCGTTGATGTGTGATTAAAAGAATAGTGGTGTCATGGTCAAAAGATGTTGTCAAAAGATGTTATATCAACCGCTTGTTGAAGAATGATACTCCCTCTGGATAGGAATATAAGCCGGACATGAGATTTTAGGTCATCAATTTAACTAGTAGCAAAACACGTGTCATATACCAAAAAAAAGTAAATATTTTGAAATTTCAATCGACGACAAATTCAAAGATTTTCTTTATGACATACAACACATATGGGCGCTTGCGTCAGTACTGTGTTTAAAGATAGAAAATAGTTAAATTGAAGACAAAAAAGACCCAAGCCAAGCTTATATTCCCATCGGAATACACCTTTTCTTTAGATGGTTTATTCCCATAGAAGAACATTGACAGCCAGGTGAGCCACCATGCTCGCGCGCGTATGCACCGTGCACCTACCGCAGGGCAGTTCGAGCCTGGCACGCACCCAATACGACTCCAACCCGAAACAAGAATGTTCGTGCGGTCTTGCTCCCTTTCTTCTTGGTCGGCGGCGGGAGCAGCAGCAGTAGCCGCGCGCGCCCCCGCGAGACCTCCTCCTCTCCCCTCCTCCCCGGCCACGCCGCCGCCCATGCTCGGGTCCAGGTCCATGGCCTCCTCCGGCGCCGGCGCCGGAGCCGTCCGCGTCCGCCTCGCGGTCGTCGGTGATGTGGTACTCTCCCTCCCTCCCCCTCTTATTAAAAGTTGAATAAAACCGCTAACCCTCTATTTCCTAGCGGGCGTGCTTCGGGTCATCTTGACTGGCATGGATAGTTGTGGTTCTTCATGGGGTTGGTACGTGTAGTGGATTCTGAGCAGGGCGGAGGTGAGGATTGTGCACCGAAGTCTCTGCTCCTTGACCTGGTTAATTCAGTTAGGCTCCGTTTTGGGTGCAACAAGGGGGGTCCAGGTTCAACGATATCTGTTTTTGTTTGCGAATTGCGAGTGGTGCATTTGATCGTCTGTTAGATAGGTCATATAGGACGATGAGTTGGATGTTATGGTTGCTGTATTGAAGACAGGTTGTGGTGTCTATATGAACT